ATTTGGAGAATATTATATTATAAGATGCAATATTCAATAAAAGTTTATAATACGCAAGAAAATTGTACAATGTTCAAATACCCGTGCGAAGCACGAGATATATTTATTTGTTTTATGATTTGATAATATAAACAAATCTATACTTAACTTTGACAAATAAAACAAATAAATACTTTAGTAAGTATTTAATGTATATACTAAATAGGAATATATTTGGTATAATCAAATACCAAATATAATCAAATAAGTCAAAGTGTACATTTTTATTTGGTATTTGATTTTTTTATTATTAAAATCTTTTTATTATAATTATCTTTTTAAAATAAAATAAATAAATAAATCAATTAAATAAATAAAATATTATAGTACCAAAATAGTAATGATATTTAATGCAGTTGACTTTTCTGAATAGTAAAGGTAGTAAATAGAATCTTCTTTTATATAAGTATAGATTGTATAATACGGAAATAGTAATGCAATAAATGTTGTTGACTTTTCTTTATACTAAATCTGGTAAATGGTATACCTTTTAATATAAGTATAGATTTTAAATAAGTATAATGGTTCGGCTCACATAATTATTAGACCGTCCTACACAAATATTTCAATATGCCTTGAATTAATTAAGAATTTTATTTCATTTTGATAAGCCACTCACCCTTTCACATATTACTTCAGAAAAACACAATATAAATAAGTTTTATCCAATTAATTATCTAGATTTCAACATAACACAAAATACTAGTACGGTTCCCGTGCTATGCACGGGTAAATAGTATTAAATAATACTTATAAATTAAAATTATTGGATTAACATGTAATACGGTTTAAAACATAGTTTTTCAACCCGGACCGGCCCAGCGGGTTGACCCGGGACCCGATCGACCCGGAGCCGGAACTGGTCCGGGTGAGCTATTTAGACCGGGCAACAAAGGACCTGGTTAAAACCCGGCCAACCCGGCCTTGACCCTATCGACTCGGGGCATTGACCCGGTAGAGTAAACCCGGTTGACCTGGCCCCTATATATAATTTTTAAAATATTTTTTGTTTTTAAAAATAAAACTATGTATATATATTTATATAGTAAATATTTATCATGAAATACATATTATTAAAATTTTAATGTACAAATTTTATATACAAAATATTTAATTTTGTTATTTTTATGTATATTTATATGACAAAATACTCTATACATAATTAAAATTTTTAATATTAATTATCCGGTTCAGCAATTGACCCGGTGACCCGACGATTGAACCGGTGACCCGAAGACCTGTCCGGGTCGATTCCCGGGCCGGGTTTGAAGACTATGGTTTAAAGTACATTATGAATTTATTGGAAATTAACAAATGCTAACCATTATTAATTAATTGAAGCTAATTGAAAATTATTTTGACTAAAAACATATAAAACATGCCTAGCTAAAACACTAAAAGTAACTAAAATGTTATATATCATGTCTAAAAGTACCTAAAATGTTCTATATTATGTGTGAAGATTCACCAAAATTTTCCTAAATTATTCTTGAAAAACATGTCAAAAAACAACTCAATTATTCTATGTTATTATTGAGTCACGTTACCTACATCAAATAAAATAAATAGCACACTCATTTCATATATCACAATATTTTTACTATATAACAGAATGAAATTAGATTTTTATACAAATGTGATGAAATAAATATATATGATTTAGTCGACTGACCACATTGTTATTTATGAATAATTAAAATGAAATCGTGATGTCAAATTGAATTTGAATTAAAAAAAATTATGCGCGTAATTTTTTTTACTTAAAAGAGTACTGTATTTAATAAATATATGAATTTGAATAAAATTGAATAAAACTTAAAAGGGTATGTTATTTAATAAATATTATATTAAATAATGGATGATTCAAACATTTTGATAAGGAGTAAAAATCAATATTTTCACATTTCATCAGATAAGGAATATAAATCTATCTCATTACCAACCAAAACAAAAAGAGATTTTTTCATTTTAGGAAAAAAAATTCAAATCAAAGCATCCACTTAAATAGGAAAATTTGAACCGGCAAATCAAAGCATCCACTTTCATGAGAATTTTAGGTACACTCAATCATTATTTTATGTATTTTAACACGTCACATGAAATGAAATTTTTAAAAAAATCAAAGAAACCACTTACACTGGCAAATGAAAATTTTCAAAAGAAATTTAAAAAAAAATCTTAATGTCTATCATGTGAGTGTCCACAAAATCGGCCCCATGAAAATCGGGAAGATGAATATCAAGTTTCGCAATCAAATTAGCTTAAAAATTTTCAAATCAAAACATCCACTTAAATAGGAAAATTAAACCGGCACATGAAATGATTTTTTAAAAAAAATCAAAGGATCCACTTAAACCGGCAAATGAAAATTTTCAAAAAGAAAGTTACTATATCTAGTATATTTTTTAGCGGGAATACGAATTATTTTTTAGCTACTATTTATGTATTATTTAGGTTCCCTCTTTTTATAACAATAGATTACTGTCAAAAGTCCAGCTTCATGCTTTTCATAATTTAAAAATTAATGTAAAATATATATATATTCTCCAAATACATACATATATCTACATACCTGCTGTCCGGTTGAATGAAGAGACCCTGCGACAGGTCTTTCAAGCCATTGATGACAGTTTTCCGGCTAAACCTCCGGTCGGCGGCCTCCAGCCCAAGCTCGTGCTCCATAATCTCGAATTGGCTCTCTCTCGACCACTTTATCCGATCTCTTAAATCCTCCACTGTATATTCCTCATCCCCATTTCTCAGCTTCCTCGCTCCATCTTCTTCTCCACCATTGACAAACGACGCCGTTTTCCTGAAAGATACCATTCTCTACTTTCGATGGGAGGATATCAATAGAAGTTGTGAATGCGATTTATTTTGGGGGGGTTGGGGGGAAAGAGGAAATTGGGGTAAATGATTAATTAATTTCTTATATGGAATTCATAGGGATGTGCCTGTGTGTGATTGGCGAGCTATGATCATATCACGGTAAAGAAGAAAATGTCGTTGTTGGAAATGGCGTTTTCGTTTTCAAATTAAAAATTTATAGTTGGAACTTGGAGTTGGAGGCATGAGTGAGAGAGAAATGGTGGGCTTTTTAATTTCCAAGGATTTATGGAATCCGAAAAGCTTTTTATGCGCCGATGACCTTTTTGTGACAACTTACATTACACTATTATGTACCCGTGCAATGCACGAGAACAATATTAAATTAACAATATTATAAATAAACCTCGAGTTTGAGTCACTCAATGGCGGAAGTGGAAACTACTATTGCTCCTATTTAGAAAGAGGAAGAAAAAAATAATTTTAAATTAATAAGAAGGATAAACAAATTATAAATTAAAGATTCGGGTCAAACAATGTAAAATTATTTTGTATAAGAGAATATGAAAATTTGATTACACACCATCTCAAAATTATTATTATACTTTTTTATATGATTAGCTTAAAATATTTGTAAAAATATTAGTAATTAGACCGATGAAAATTAGCTTCTTAAAGTAGATAATGAATTTCTAGTAGTAATTATGAATTAGTTTCTATTTTATTTTTTTAAAGATAATGGATTTCTAGTAGTAATTATGAATTGGTTTCTATTTTATTTTACTTTTAGTAATTATGAATTGGTTTCTATTTTTTTTAAAGATAATAAATTTCGAGTAGCAATTATGAATTGGTTTCTATTTTATTTTATTTTTTCAAATCTGTATAGATAAGGGATGAGATTTTTTAAACACGTGAGACGTATGCAATGAGATTTTGTAACAGAAGAGATAAGTTCGTGTAGATTTATACTAAAAATAGGGTCAAACAACAGTTTTGATAAACTAAAAAACAGGAGAAACAAATCTTTACACAATTAATGAGTCGATTTTTTGGCCTATTCAGATTTGTCCAACAATTACTATATGTAGTATATATTTAATGATTTTGGCAGGAAAAAAATTTCTAAATTTGTAAAAAGGTTATTCTTTTTATATAATGATAGATAAGAGTGTTAATATTCACCGCACTCAATTTTACTAATTATCGCACCCAAATAATACCTTTTTGCTCTTACTAAAAAAAATAATAAAAAATTCAATTTTTAATTCATTTCTAAAAAAACGAAAATAAACTATATATTAAATAAATATATATTAAATATATATCTATATATATTTTAAAAAACCGAAATAAATATATATTAAATATAATATATTATATATTAAATATATATCTATCTATATTTTAAAAACCGAAAAAAAAAGAAAATAAAATTTAAAAACCAAAAAAAATATACATTAAATTTATATATTATATATTAAATATATATATATTTAATAAATATATATCTATATATATTTTAAAAACCGAAAAAAACAAAATAAATTTATCAAAAACAAGAAAAATTAAATATATATTAATATTATTATTTTCATTATAAATTAATATAATTTTTTAATTATTTATATTCAAAATTTATAGAAAATATATATTTATATATTTAATTTGTTTTTTTATTTTATAAATATTTAAAGTTTTTAAGTTAAAAAAAAAAAAAAAAAAAANGAGGGCGTCCGTATTTCAGATTTTTTTTTTATTTTTATTTTTATATTAGTAAGGGTAATTTTGTATTTTTAGGTGCGGTATTGTGAATTTGGGTGCGGTGTTTAGTAAATGAGATTACATAAACTCAACTTCTTGTGTGACCACATAATCAGTTCTGTGGCATCTATTTCTATATCTATATCTATGTATATATATAAAATAAGAATTATTATTTACTAAAAATAGTAACAAAAAAATAGGTCAGAATTTAATGCAGCCTATAAATAGTAAGTTTTATTATTTTTCTTTTTTTTTCTTTAAAAAAGCATACAACATTAAATGCTACATTAAATTTCGAGCTTTAGTTCATTTTATTATTTAAAAAATTCGACTAAGATTTATTAAGTGTGCATGTTTTCGTTTTTTTTTTTCTAATAAATAATGAACAACATTAAAATTTCGGTCTCTATATTTATAAAATCTCATTTCAAAATATAACAAAAGTTTTAGAATCTCGGTCTTTATATTTGTGCCTTTCAAAATAAAAATATTGAACGCTATAAAATTCTTTAAATTGCATAATCAATTACTTAATCTTAATTTTTTTTAAATTACTATGTTTATTATTTATTAATATGTATAAAGTAAAAGTAATTAATTCATCTTTAGATATATAATTTATAATCTTAACATACTATTATTTGATGTAGATATTTATTATATGAATCATAAAATATTTTTATTTCATAAAATTAAATATATTTAAAGAAAATATGGAAATTTCTTTAGATCAATTGAGTACTTGAATTAGGCACTGCCCAAGTTGATTGAATTACTTTTAGGCGATATTTGAAATAGTCAAAAAACTTGACACAACATGGTTGGTCCCAGGTGACTAAGTTATGTATTAGTTTGACCATACCAAATCGATTATTGAACCTAAATATAAATTTTAATATTGAAAATACTTTATTACGTGAATGTGATGTAATCCAAACTTCAAATAATCATATTAACAATACTTTTATGACAACATGTTAAATGATTTAGAAATATTTATATATCATTTTATCAATTTTTATGTGAACAAAATAATATTATATTATAATTTTTGTTAATGTACAGTAAATATAAGGTTTTCAGAACTGGGCCGTCATCGCAACGATCAAGTTATTTTATTAAATCATTTGTGGTTTGTTCGACTTTAATTTATAAACATTTTAATATATATATATATAAATTCAAATGTTTAAACTAATTGATAAACAATTTATAAATTTCTATTTTATTTAAATATGTAATTTTATTTAAAATAATTTTAAATGTAACAAAATTTATTTAGGAAATCGTATCGTTCCTACCAGTCCAACTGACTGGTGTTGACGGATTCGACAATAAATATTTTATTCAAGCGAACTAGACTGATTATAAATCGGTTCTCGGTCTATCTAGTCGGACTGTGTTCAACTCAATTTTATTTAAAAACAAGGGGTAAATTATGATTAATATTATTTATATATTTAATTTATAATAAAATCGTAATATAGTTTTCCCGTGCACGACCACACACTGGTTTTAATTAGAAAATAAAACGCAGACAATTAAATGCTGCACATACACTTCATTTGCATTAAATCGTAACCCTTCATATAAATGGGCCGCCAGCACAATTCCATGTCCCAGCCCCAGAACACGCAAATCGGAGAAACTTCAAAACAGTAAAATATAGTGAGCCTCACTCACATTTAATTTTTTATTTTATTTATTTATTTATTCTCCATTGATGTTTACTGATGTGATCTCGGCCCGGGCCGTTGGCAAGTTCAAATTGATACAACCGTCTCTGAACCGGATTTATGTAATTTTTGAAAACTCAGCCCCGACCGTGTGCTTCATTCTAGGCGGGAAACCAGTGCAAACCTAACCAGTCCCCCGACGATGATAGGCCGCCGCCGCCCGACGGATTCACTACCCCCGGACCGCCGGCCCCCTCCACCCACTCCCACCAACACCGCCGCCGATCCGTCGCAGTTCCTGGCCACCCCTGTCCCCGGCCGCGATTCCGACGCCAGCTTCTGCAGCAGCCGCCCCTCCACCGCCCTTCCCAACTTTTCCGAACGCTCACACCAACTCGCCGCGCTCAGAACCATCAACTCCTACCTCGCCTCCCAATCCGCCCCCTTCGCCCTCAAGCCCTCCCTGCCCTCCGCCAAGGACATCACCGAAACCCTAAAGCTCTTGCTGCTACGCCTAGGGTTCGTCTCACAGAAACTCGACGAAGATCTCGGCCACGCACTGAAATTTCTCAAATGCCCCTTCAAACTGAACAAATCCGCCCTGCGTGCCCCCGGCACTCCCCATTCATGGCCCAACTTGCTCGCCGTCATTCACTGGCTTGTCCAGATAATTAAGTACAGAGATTACATGACGACCTCTCCCCCTAGCTTTGAGGGTGATAAAATGTTCATGTACACTGTGAACAGCTATCTGCTGTTCATCACTGGAGATGACGACAAAATAGATGCCCTGGATGAAGACTGTATTAGGGAGATGAGTGACTGGAAGCACACGTTGGAGGAGAGAGTGAGGGGCTTTGAAGAAACAGCGAAGGAATTGGAGTCGAAATTGGATGGTATGAAGGCAGGGCCGAGTCAGAAAGAACGTCTGGAACAGGAAAAGGCTGTGTTAGAGAAGGATATTACAAAATTCAACATTATGATCGAGCAGCTATCGAGCCATCTTATGGAGGTGCAGAAGAAATTGGAGGAGAAGGGTAAAGCACTGGAGGCGAAAGTGGAGGACAGGAAGAGGATTTGTGAGGAGAATGAGGAGTTAAAGAAGAGGATTGAGGAGCAAGGGATTAATTTGAGAGATGCCGAGAGAATGAAGAGGGAGTTGCAGGCTGTGGAGAGGGATATTGAGGAGACCGAGTCTGCAATAAATGGCTGGGAGGAGAAGATATGGGAGCTTGATTCGGAGATTGGTCATAAGTTTAAGGAGCTCGAGCGGTTGATGATGGAGGGCAACCAAGCTATCAGAAGGTTTGCGACTTTTTTTGTTCTGTCGTTGTTCTTTATTTTACAAGATATGGACTTGTCGAGATTGTTGTTGTCGGTTTTAATTGCTGTCTCATTTGTTGATGTGGCTTTTGTGATAGAAAAAAAAAATGACTAGAATAGGGCTCATAGTCTTTTGTTGCTTGGCTAAAGAAAGTTTTGCTGCTTTGTGAAGGCTGATTGGTCATTTATGCTTTAGTGAATCCTAGATGGACCTTGTTATACATGATCAACAGTTTAATTCGTAGTCTAGCATTGTGTCGGCAATTATCTGATTCTGATGAACAAACACCTGAATCCACATCATCATTTGGCTTTTGTCTTCTTTAAGAAATGTAGATAGAAAGCTGCCTCAGTAAACTTGTGCCCAGACAACACTGAAGTTAGGAACTACTTCTATAGTATCTTATTCTGTAACTTTGGTTTGTTCCATGGTCCACCACACAAGGGCTTGTAAATATTTTCAATAATTTCTAAGAAACTTAGCTTGCTTGTGTTT